TCCTCTTAGCCTTGGTGGAAAAGCGGAATCATTTCTTTGGCTTTTAGAGCCTTCTGTCTTCACAATGAGCCTGAGATCAGCACTGTACAGAGGAGCAGAGGCTCTGGGCAGCTTGGGGATTTGCCCTGACCTCCTTGACCTGTAGTGGGTAGAGGCATGATTCCAAGCTCAGTGCTCTTTCCATTATACCCTTTACTTGGTCCCTGGTCAGACAGGTCCTATGTTTTGTGCTTAAGGTTTCCCTGCATCAGGGCAGGAATACAGATGCAGATGTAGAGAATGGACTTGTGGATACAGGTTGGAGAAGGAGAGGGTGGGATGAATTGAGAGAGTAGCTTTGGCATATACACACTCAGTTCAGTTCAGTTCAGTCGCTCAGTTGTGTCTTACTCTTTGTGACCCCATGAACCTCAGCACGCCAGGCCTCCCTGTCCATCACCAACTCCTGGAGTCCACCCAAACCCATGTCCATTGAGTTGGTGATGCCATTCAACCATCTCATCCTCTGTTGTCCCCTTCTCCTCCCACCCTTAATCTTTCCCAGCATTAAGGTCTTTTCAAATGAGTCAACTCTTCGCATCAGGTGGCCAAAGTATTGGAGTTTCAGCTTCAACATCAGTCCTTCCAATGAATATTCAGGACTGATCTCCTTTAGGATGGACTGGCTGGATCTCCTTGCAGTCCAAGGGACTCTCAAGAGTCTTCTCCAACACCACACTTCAAAAGCATCAATTCTTCAGCACTCAGCTTTCTTTATAGTCCAACTCTCACAGCCATACATGACTACTGTATGGATAGCCTTGACTAGATGGAGCTTTGTTGACAAAGTGATGTCTCTGCTTTTTAATATTCTGTCTCGGTTGGTCAAAACTTTCCTTCCAAGGAGTAAGCGTCTTTTAATTTCACGGCTGCACTGCCATGAGTAAAATAGCTAGCTAGTGGGAAGCTGTTGTATAGCACAAGGGGACTCAGCTCAGCGCTCTGTGATGACCTAGAGTTGGGGAAGGAGGCTCAAGAGGAAGGGGATATATGTATACTTGTAGCTGATTCATGTTGCTATAGAGCAGAAACCAATACAACATTGTAAAACTATTATCCTCCAATTAAAAATTTTAAAAATATATCAAATGTGAGCCTAATAGATGGGGAGAAATACTAGACTTGTAAAGGTGTAATGAATTGATGTTTACACTTTTCCAATATTAAATAAAATTCCTTGAGTGAGAAAAAAATATTTAACTGCATTACTCATTCTCACTTTCATCCCTGTGACTGTGACAAAGATCACCAACTACTTTCCTGCTCTCTACCTCGACCACTTGTGTGATGGTGTTGGCTATCTTGCAAACAGCTAGAAGGCACCAGGATCCATGATCCTCCTGAAATGTGGGCACTAGGAATGCACCACTCCCACTAATGGAGTCCTTTCTTTACCCCAGAGTGAGGACCAGGAGCTCTGCCTCCTCCACCCCTCCATGAGGAAGGAACAACCCATCTATACAGGGCTCGGGAACTTTGGAAAGATTCCAAGGACCCTGACCCTGGAACTGACAAGGTCCAAAGAAAAAATTCAGTTTCAAAAAGAAGAGGTGTGTGTGGAGACCCAAAGAGCTGCTCCTGGGGAGCCTTGGACACATAGTGGGTTGAATAAAAGTTCATTCAGGTTTTTCTGTATGATGTTATGGAAAAACCCGAATGAACTTTTCAGCCAACCAAACAGAAAACAAGAAGCCATTGATGAGTGGGACAGCTTTCCTTCCCTTGTCAGGATCCAAAGTCTGTTCAGGAGGGAGACTCTCCGTCCATACTGGAGCATCCAGTGGATACCTCTTCACGGCCGAGAGAAAGTTCTGGATGAAGATAGAGCAGAGGATGGCTCAAAAGAGGATTACTACACACACCTGTTAGGCTTCCCAGGTGGTGCTAGTGGTAAAGAACCCACCTGCCAATGTAGGTAGACATAAGAGATGTGGGTTCAATCCCTGAGTTGGGAAGATCCCCTGGAGGAGGGCATTGCAACCCACTCCAGAATTCCTACCTGGAGAATCCCCATGGACAGAGGAGCCTGGTGGGCTATAGTCCATAGGGTCACAAAAAGTCGGACGTGACTGAAACTTAGCACGCATAAAATTACACCTGTCAGGGGTGATGGGGAGCAGACCACAGGAGAGTCACACTGTCTGGGGAAATGTGGGGATTACCATATCAGTGGAGGGTGGTGACACTGACCTCATGAAACTGAAAGGAAGCCCAGGACCTCTGCGCACAGGGACCCTTCTCTTTGTGACCCCATGGACTGCAGCCTGCCAGGCTTCTCTGTCCATGGGAATTCTCCAGGCAAAAATACTGGAGTGGGTTGCCATGCCCTACTCCAGAGGTTCTTCCCTATCCAGGGATCAAACCCATGTCTCCTGCATTGCAGGCAGATTCTTTACCATCTGAGCCACCAGGGAAGCCCCTCCTGAAGCCACCATAACTGAAATCAGGGAATCAATTCTAGTTCCAGATCACCAGGCCTTGGACTACTGGGGTTTGCACATGTGAGCTCAGTCGCTCAATCATGACTCTTTGCAACCCCATGGACTGTAGCCCACCAGGCTCCTTTGTCCTTGGGATTCTTCAGGCAAGAATACTGGAGTGGGTTATCATTTCCTCCTCCGGGGGATCTTCCTGACTCAGGGATCACACCCTCATTTCTTGCATCTCCTGCATTGGCAGGCAAATTCTTAACCACTGAGCCTTGTGGGGAGCACTTGAGATTTGTACACTACTTACCTATTTGTGGAGGTGGATTTTCTTTTCCTTCAACAAAACCTTTTGTTTGCAAAGCTTGGACAAACAGGGTTGTGTGTTGAAGAAATTTCCCATGTCCTGCCCATGATTTTGACTGAGGCCAAACTACTTGGGTGCACACTTCGTCGGCTCCAAGATTATACTATGGATTCAGTTTTCCCCAGGTGAAATTGTTGCCTTATAACACCCTGACAGGCCCACCAACAGGTAGGATTAGTGTGTGGGTCACCTGAAAAATTGTGTGAACCCCTTAATCTGCAAGTCTCTGTGTTTGAGGCAACTTAGTAAATAAAGGGAGGAGCTTCCTGGGAAGTTCTGGTGTTTAGCATTAATCTTCTGCCAATGATTTACTTCCCTTGGCACTGTTGAATTGAAGATTATCAGATCATTTATCAGAAAGTGCAGCAGGAAAAAACTTGTCATTGCTGCTAAGACCACAGGTATTGGTCAACTACAATTTTCTGGCTAGAAGGTAAGCTCTGATTCATTGGATTTGTATTTTCTGAAAGAGTTACATGTAAAGTAAAAAACTGACCACTAATGAATGAGATGTCTGCTCTCCTGGTGTTGGCTGGAGTTAGAGCTTATGTTGAAGGAGAGGGAGGTACTGCAGGTATCTGCTCAGAGCCCGGGTTTTGGGGACAGGTAGACCCAAGTCAAAATCATGGCTCTGCTAACTGTGTAATCTTGGCAAGTGATTTAACCTTCAGTTTTCCTCTTCTTAATTCTATTAGTTTTTCGGTAAATTGTCTTGGATTTTCTCTGTAGACAATCATATTTTCTACAACTAGTGATATTTTTGTCTCTTCCTTTCTAATATTCATGATGGAAATTCTTTTCTCTTGTTTCATTTCATTGGTTAGACTTAGCAGAATGATGGGGACAGTAACAGTGATAATGGACATCCATACTACATTCCTGGTCTTAACGGGCAGGTTTCAATGCTTCATATTGAAGCATTCATGATCATTGCTATATGTTCTGGTAGACACTCAGCTTAAGAAAGTTTCCTTGTGCTTTTAAAAAATCATGAATGGATGTCAAATTTTATCTTGTCAGCATCTATTGAGCTAAAATGGTCATACAGTTTTTCTTTTTTAATCTGTCAAAATAATGCATTTCATTAATAGTTTTCCTACTAATTAATGATTTTACTATTGCAAATCATCCTTAAATTCCTCAGGTAAAACCTAATCAATGCACCTTTCTTTTGAACATTGCAGGATTTGATTGGATCATATTTTATTCAGAATTTTAAAAATCAAAGCTTATAATTACTAAAGAAATGCAAATAAAAACCACAAACACATATCACCTCACACCTGTCAGAATGGCTAGTATCAAAAAGTCTGTAAATAACAAATGTTGGTGAGGAGGTACAGAATAGAGAATTCTCATACAGGGTCTGTTGGAATGTAAATTGGTACAGCCTCTATGGAAAACAGTATGCAGATTCCTCAAAAAACTCAAAATAGAATTACCATATGATCTAACAATTCCATTTCTTGGTATATATCCAAAGAAAACAAAACCATGAATTTGAAAAGACACATGTACCCCAATGTACATAGCAGTACTATTTACAACAGGCAAAATATGGAAGCAACCCAAGTGCCCATCAATAGATGAATGGATAAAGATAATGGGATTATTACTCAGCCATAAAAATAATGAAATTCTGCCATTTGCAGCAATGTGGATGGACCTAGAGAATATTATGCTTAGTGAAACAAATCAGACAAAGACGAATACTGTATGATATCACTAACATGGGGAATGTAAAAAGTAATATAAATGAATGCACATGCAACATGAAAATGGACCCAAAGAGAGAAAACAAACTAGTGGTGACCAAAGAGTAGAGGGAAACTGTTGGGGGCAAACAGGGGGAGGGAATTAACAAATATGAACTACACTAGATATAAAATTGATAAGCAACAAGGATATATTGTCTAGCAAGGGAATTATAGCCATTACTTTGTAATAACTTTTATTGGACTATAATCTATCAAAATACTGAATCACTAAGCTGTACACCTGAAAGTAATCTGATATTATAAATCAACCTTACTTCAATTAAAAAACCAAGCTTGAAAGTGATATTCATATATTATCTTCTTGTGTACTATATCTTATCATGTTTTATGAATATAACTTTTAATGGATAGTGTTGATTTTAGGGAACAGGCCAGGAGAGAGGGGTGGACATGCTGACGAAGCTCCAGTTCTCCTTGTCGGTCACCCTGCTGTTTGCCTGTGGCTTCCTCTACCAGTTCACCCTGAAACCCAGCTGCCTCATCTGCTACTTACCTTCCTACAAGTCCCAGCAGGGGCTGGAAGCCCTCCTAGGCCGTGGGCGCAGCATCGTGTTCCTAGAGACCTCGGAGAGAATGGAGCCAACCCCACTGGTCTCCTGTGCTGTGGAGTCAGCTGCAAAGGTTTACCCCGAGCAGCCTGTGCTGTTACTTATGAAAGGGCTCAATAATTCCATGCAGCTCCCCCCGAACTCCACTTCCCCAGCCCTTTCCCTCCTCTCAGCAATTGACAATGTTTTCCTCTTCCCTTTGGATATGAAAAGCCTGTTTGAAGACACACCGTTGTTTTCGTGGTACACTCAAGTAAGTGTTTAGAGAACCTCAGAATCCCAGTGTTGGGAGGGACCATAGAAATTGGATCCAACCTACTCATTTTATAGATGGATACACTGAGGATAGATGGGTGGGGAAGATCCCCTGGAGAAGGGAATGGCAACCAACTCCAGAACTCTTGCTTGGAAAATTTCATGGATGGAGGAGACTCATAGGCTACAGCCCATGGGGTCGCAAAGAGTTGGACACGACTGAGAAACTTCCCTTTTGCTTTTCACTTACACTGAGGATCGGGGCTCAGAGATAGGCTGAGATAGGGTATCAAAGATAGGCTAGAACCCAGATCTTTTGACTCTTGCCTGGTCTTCTTTTTATGGTGTTGAGTCCCAATTCAAGGAAACAAGAGAGACTTGATTTAAGCTTACCTCTACCCTGCTGCCTTTTGCTTTCAATTTATTTCTTAGGATTTCTTGAGACTACTCTTAATTGAATGAATTTCTGTATCTTTTCTAGGTGTGTAGACCACTCATTTTTCACTGACAGTTTTAAACCCATCTATGTTAAACTTTTTATGCACCCGAGGGGGGGAAATTGGGCAATATTGAACTTGAAAATGATTTAAATAGATAATTCATGAAAGATCAGGTGGGTGCAGCTATATAGGATTGTGTAATATTGAGAGATGATCAAGAAACTCCTGGGGCTCTTTGGAATTTTGTAATTTTGTGCCAAATCTCCCTCTACCTTTCCCTTTAAAGGACATTTATGGTGGCATTTAGGGCCCATGGTAATCCAGGATAATCTCCTCGGCTCAAGGTCCTTAAATTTGTCACATTGGCAAAGACCCTTTTCCTAAAGGAGATAATTGTAGTTTTTAGGAATTAGGACCATTGAGTGGCTGTAATCCAATCTACTATAGTATTTGTATGAAAAAAGAGAAAACTTCTGTCCCACACCCTCTCTCAGTCACCTATGGATTGGGTGGGGTGTCCTGGATGGGGGATACGCTTGCACCTTGGGGGAGCTGGGCTGTGGCATTTTCTGCCCCAGTTAGCCACCATAGGTTAGCTGGCAGCCAGCTGTGAGGATGACTGAGTGTGTCATCACCTGCTGATGATCACTGGATTCGCTGCACTGATTTGAGCAACTGTAGCCCTTGAAGATGCCCAGGGATGAGTACTATGAGCTTGGGGAAGGAATGAGCAACCAGAATCCGATTCCCCTTTCTGGTGCTCACCTCTAGGGAAGGTTTTATTTTACATTGACGTCAGTCCAATGTCCACATCAAGGCAGGCTTCCTCCTCCTGGTTCTGTGTGGCTTCTGATATCTGGGTCTGTTCATTAATAATCACCAATTTACTAACAATCAACTTCAGTTATTTTTACTGAAAATAAGTGGGCTTCCAGAGTTAGACTGCCTGGATTAAAATCTAACCTCTGCCTCTCTTACCTTGGACAAAGGATTGAACTTCTTCCTTCCTTTTAATTTTTCCCTTGAAAAACAGGAATAATCATAGTATATAGGTACAATGATTTTTAAAAGATTTATGATTACTTTTTTATATTTGGCTGAGATGGGTCTTGGTTGCTGTGCTTGGGCTTTCTCTAGTTGCAGCGAGCAGGGGGCTGCTCTCTAGTTGTGGTGTGCCAGCACGTGGCTCTTGCTGTAGCGCACAGGCTCCAGGGTGCTTGGGCTCAGTAGCTGCATGGGCACAGGCTTAGTTGCTCCTCAACATGTGGGATCTTCCCAAACCAGGGATCAAACCCGTGTCCCCTGCATTGCCAGGCAGATTCCTAACCACTGGACCACCAGGGAAGCCAGGTACTATGATTTTTGAGGACTTGTGCAGATTATAAGTTAGGACAGTTATTGATAAATTTTAGCTATTATTATTCATGAGGTTTTTCGTAATTGTATACAATATAGTGCTATTAATAGTTCAAGTGAGGATTTCGGCAGTCTGAGCTGACTTTCTTTTGTTTGGTTTTAGAAGAGATTTTTTAAAAAAAATGTTTATTTTGTCAAAAGCCAAGGGTCACGGTTTAATCTTTTAACCAACATGTTTAAATTCAGAAAAAAATCTATTTTTTTTCTGTATTCAAAATTCTAGCATTCCACTTGGGAACATGGATATTTATAATGGTTTATTTTTATTCACTTCAAAGTCATTTTCTGTTCTGCTCACATTCTAGCATTTTCAGTTGGCCTTGACTCCTCGGTCTCCGGCTCCATATCCAATCCATCAGCAAATCCTGACCAGCTTCATCTTTCCCATGTGCTCAGAATCTGACTAGTTCTGTCATCTCCTTTATTGTCACTCTGGTCTAAACCATCATCATCTCCTGCCTGGATTATTTAAACAGCTTCCAAATTTGCCTCTTTGCTCCTGCCCCCATCTATTTTCCATACTATAGCCAGGGTGACCCTTTTTAGACTAATTCAGACTATATCTCCTTTCTACCAAATCTTCCAAATCATTTCGGTCTCTACCCCAGCATAGCATCGCCCTCACTCCTGCCCTGCCCTTTCTCTGACCTTGTTTCCTATCCCTCTCCCTTCACTATTCTACACTGCTATTTTCCTGTTCCTACACACCATGAGTGTGTTCCTGCCCCAGGGCCCTTGCACTTGCTGTTTGCTCTACCTAGAACCCTCCTCTCAGAGATACCCACATAGTTCATCCACCCGCTTTATCCAAGGTTCTGCTCGAACTCAAGATAGTGCTCCATCCTGCCCCGTTCATAACCCCCTTGCCGACTTTTTCTTTCCGAGTTCTTATGAAAACCCAACATATGGTACATTTATTTGTTTATTGTCTATCTTCTGCCAGTAAAGATTTTTGTCTGTTTGTTCACTTTTGTATCCTTAGCAGCTTAGAGTTGCATGAATGGTAAGTAGGCCTTCGATGAATGTTATTAAATGAATTAATCAGTGGACAAAGGCATGGATGCGTTTTAAGATTCTTTTACCAACTTTTCAAAAAGCATAGATATTAATATATCCTATAGTTTCAGAGTTCATTTTTTCCTTTATCAGTTCTCAGCATTTTTAGGATGTATAAAAAATTCTTTCTTCACAGTTTCATATTTGTGGTTAATTTCCATCCTGCTGAAAGTGACTCATGAAATCCTTTCTGGGTTTCATCTTTCTACTGCTTTTATAAAAAAACAATTTCATGAAATCTTTAGAAGCTGCTAAAAATCTTCCTATTGATACTGACTGCTGTAAACTTTTCACTTAAAGGCAAATTTTTGGGTTGGAGGTAATTTTGATAAATTTGCAATACTGGGCTTTTGGCAAATAGATTTTTGGGAGGTTGACTTGCTTCCTCCTCAACTACCTGTGCTGGGCCTCCCCTTCCCCTTTCTGGGGGCTGATTTGTACCTGCTTCTGCAGATCAACAGCAGTACCGAGAGATTCTGGCTCCATATCAGCTCAGATGCGTCCCGCTTGGCCTTCATCTGGAAGTACGGCGGTGTCTACATGGACACAGATGTCATCTCCATCAGACCCATTCCTGAGGACAACTTTCTGGCTGCACAGAAATCTCAGTTCTCCAGTAATGGGGTGTTTGGATTTCTCCCCCACCACCCCTTCCTGTGGGAGTGTATGGAAAACTTTGTGGAAAATTACAATCCAAATATTTGGGGCCACCAGGGTCCTGAATTGATGACGAGGCTTTTGAGAGTATGGTGCAAACTCAGAGATTTCCAGGAGGTGAGTGACCTCAAGTGTTTAAACTTCTCCTTCCTACACCCCCAAAGATTTTACCCCATCTCTTTTCGAGCCTGGCGGCGCTATTATGAAGTCTGGGATACAGAACCGAGCTTCAACAATTCCTATGCCCTCCATCTGTGGAACCACATGAACCGGGAAGGGAAGGCTGTGGTCAGAGGAAGCAATACACTGGTGGAAAATCTCTACCGTAAGCACTGTCCCAAGACTTACAGGGACCTGCTTCAAGGTCCAGAGGGGTCAGTGACTAAGGAGCAGGGTCGAGGTAACAAATAAGCCAATGCTGAGTTGTTGGTGCTACACTGCGGGTTTAGCCACTTCCTGGAGTGCTAGGCTTTCACCTGATCTCCACTTCCCCGGAGTGTAGAGGCTCACCCATATATCAGTTAGACACAATTTTCCATGTCGTTTCATCAAAAAACCATTAGAACTAATAAATGAACTCAGTAAGGTGTCAAAATCAATACACAAAAATCAGCTACATTTCTAACCACTAATAATGAACCATCAGAAAGAAAAAGAAAACAATTCTATTAACATTTGCATCAAAAAGAACAAAACACCTAGGAATAAATTTAACCAAGGATGTGAAAGCCCTGCATATTGAAAGCTTTAGGACACTGATGAAGAAACTGAAGAAGATACAAGGAAAAAGAAAGATATCATATGCTCATGAAGGATGAGGACTTCCCTGGTGGCTCAGATGGTAAAGTGTCTGCCTACAACGCGGGAGACCCGGGTTCAATCCCTGGGTTGGGAAGACCTCCTGGAGAAGGAAATGGCAACCCACTCCAGTATACTTGCCTGGAAAATCCCATGGACAGAGGAGCCTGGTAGGCTATACTCTCCATGGGGTCACAAGGAGTTGGACACGACTGAGTGACTTCACTTTTCACTTTCATGAAGGATGAATATTGTTAAAATGTCCATTCTACCCAAAGCAATGTGCACACTGAAAGCAATTTATACCAAAGTTCCAATGGCATTTTCCTCAGAAATAGAGCAAAGAATCCTGATATTTATGTTGAACAACAAAAGACCAGGAATAGCTAAAGCAATCCTCAGAAAAGAGAACCGGTTGGAGGTATCTTGCTCCCTGACTTCAAACTGTATTTTGAAGCTACAGTAACCAGAACAATTGTTGAGCTCAAAAACAGACCCACAGGTCAGAGGACCAGAAGAGAGAGCCCAGAAATAAACCTACATGGATGTGGTCAGTTTATTTATAGCCAAAGGGTCAAGAACATTCAGCCGGGCAAGTGCAATCCCCTCAATAAACAATGCAAGGAAAACTGGACACCACACCAAAGAATGACACTGGACACAGTATACACTGCACATACCATGGGCTAAAAACCTACACTTTTCCACATCAAGACCTTCCTTTCCTGGGTCCTCTGAAGATGGACTCCCCCAACCCCCACCAACCCTCAACTCCTGGCAGTCAGTTGCACACAAGAAGTTTCTCCCCACCTTCCCTCATTTCACTTTTCCCTCACCTTTTTCTCCCCATGGGACCTCCTAGGGCGTGTCCTGAGAAAACTGTTCCTATCTACATGGACACAGCATCATATTGTCCTCAAGTTGAAACCTCAGCAGGTCGTAAGAAGACTGAGCACTCACAGCACTGACCTGTGGTATGCGGAAGCTGAACCCGTACTGGTGCTGAAGGAGGCTGAGCTCCTGCAACAGAGAAGATGAAAACTCTCACTTGCCCCTGCTCACTGCTCCCTGTGGGCAGTGGCGGAATTGCAGGCCCCGCTTGTCAGTTGGGATGGGTGGACTGTGTCTACAATAAAAATCCCAAAGAGCATTGGTATATAAAATATAGAAGTTTCTCTTTCATGTAAAAGTAGTCTGAAGGTAAGCAGATGAGGGTGGGTATGGTCACTGCAGTCATCAGGGACCCTGGCTTCTTGTATCTTTCTGCTTTCCATCTTAGTGTCCACAGGCCATGGTTCATACTGCAGCTTGGTCTCCAGTCCATCATTTCTGCATTTCAGGCAGCAGGATGAAGGGAAGAGGAAAGGTGCACTTTCCTTATTTTATAAACTCTTCCTGCAACTTACCACATAACACTTAACCTTACATCTCAGTGATCAGTATGTAGCTGCAAGAGAGGCTGGAACATTTAAGGAGGAAGAGAAAACAGGTGTTTTGATAGGCGGCCGACAGTTTTACTACATGTTAAATTTACTTCTGTAAGATCAATTATGGAGTCTGATAGAGCATTAAATTTACTTCTGTAAAATTAGTTACAGAATCTGATAGAGCAGGGGTCCTTAACCTCTGGGCTGTGGACAGGTGTCTCCTGTCAAATCATTGGTGGAATTAGATTGAAGTGCACTTGAATCTTCTGAAAGCACCCCCCTCCCCCCAACCCCTGGTTTGTGGAAGAATTGTCTTCCATGAAATCTGTCCCTGGTGACATATAGGTTGAGGACAGCTGTGTTAGAGAATTGGCTGGGGAAAAAAGAGGCTTGATTTCTAGCCTTTAATTTGATACTCATTAAAGCATTCAGTCAGTAATATTAATTCTGTCTCTCTGTGTGCCAAGCACTGATTTAGATGCTGAAGATTCAGCTGGATCAAGCAGACAAGGTCCTAAGTCAGCTTGGACTGCAATAACAAAGTACTATAGACTGAGTGGCTAAACCACAAAAATGTATTTGTTACAGTTCTGGAGGCTGGGAATCCCAAGATCAGAGTGCCAGCGTGGCTGAGCTCTAGAAAAGATCCTCTTCCAAGCGACAGATTGCATATTTCTTGTTGAATCCTCACATGGTGGAAAGAGACTAGGGAGATCTTTGGGGTCCCTTTTATAAGGGAACTAATCCCATCCATGAGTGTTCTGCCCCTCATGACCCAATTACCTCCCAAAGGTCCCACTTCCTAATATGATCACTTTGGGGTAGTAGGATTTCAACATATGAATTTTGAGGGGGATCACATTCAGTCCATTGGAGGTCCCCAGTACTTATATCTAATGACTGGCCATATCCTCCCTGGGATAGTCTCCCCTGCTCCTTAGGGTGTCTGCTATTCCCTTTTCTACCCCAGTTGTCTTAAAAAAGCAAATCACACACTCAAACTTTAAAAACAGCTGCCCCTTCTACAGTCACATAAAAATTTGCTTCCTCTTCCTAGGAGGTATGAGAATTAATATTTCTTCCACAAATAGTCATCAATCAAGATTTTCTAGAAATTTTTTTTGATAGTTTGCTTTTAAGGAGAGCATAAATTTATGTTTTTCTCCATATATAAAGTGATGATACTTTTCAAACTACATCCACCCATCCCCTTTCATTCTGATATTTCCCGCTTTGAGAATCACTGCTCTGACTGTCTTACTAAAAAATAATCGCAGGTCATGTCTCCTGCCATAGCTTTGTTTATTCTCAGCTAATTGCTCTGGACTCTTAGGTCCAGTCTGACACTACAGTGAGACTTTGAGACCTGCTGCTACTTATTGTGGCAGCCCTCTGACCTGTGTCCCCAGAGTCCCTGCTGGGTTTCAGCTCACTGGCATGTCTCCTAGCACTAGCCCTTTGAGGGTGGAGCAGGGTCATACACTGGACCTAATTTCCGCATCTGGAGAATGCATGACAAATGCATGACTAATGTTCCTAATCACTAGGGTTTTGAAAAGTTGATTAGAAATATTGTCAATATTCAAAAATATATGAACTGTTTTATATGATGGGACCAAATAGGTCAAGCTGAATGTCACATTTCTTTATACTGGGCTGTGATTGTATGAATTCACTATAGCAATATTGATAATTTGACCGTTACAGAGAGTTTTACCTGGCAGCAAGATGTTTCTGATTGATAAGATGTCAGGCAGAAATTAATAATGTATGACTTAATAAATGCAGTTTGTTTAGTAGAAAAGAATATTTCAAAACTTGGTGGCAATGGGAAAAATGCGTAGACTGAAAGATATGTGATTAAAAAATAAGTATTAGAGATGTAACGTACAACATGGTGATTACAGCTAACACTGCTGTGTGAAACATGGGAAAGTTGTTAAGAGAGTAAATGCTAGGAGTTTGCATCACAAGGAGACATATTTTTTCCTTTTTTCTTTTTATTGTATCTATATGAGAAGATGGATGTTAGTTGAAACTGTTATGGTTGTCATTTCACAATATATGTAAATCATGCTGTATACCTGAAACTTTATAGAGTGATAAATAACAATTATTTCTCAATAAAGCTGGAAAGAAAACATGGTGGTGAGGAGGGTACTGGGCAAAGTAAAAAGAGTAATGAGCCATCAGAAATGTGGATTCCAGATGACCCTGGATTCCTTCTGGCCTTTGGTGAATATATGCCACACGTTTACATCATGATATATTTTGAAGTTAGGTCATGTTAGTGTTTCCCCCATGTTAATTTTTCTTTTTTTCAAATCTGACACTCATTCTTAGAATTTCAAATGATAAGATTGCATAGAGTAAAAGATGAAAGTCCCTCTTGTACCACAGTCAAGTTTGGTATGTCTCTCACTTTTCTCTGAATATATATCCATGCTATCTGTAAATAGTTTTGGCCATAGTCTTCCAAGTATTCCCCACTATCAGCTTATCTGCCCTAACTCTTCTCTCCGAGACCTCCATGATGCAGCAACTAACGTGTGAAGATTTGCTCGCAGATGGCTAATGACTGTGTGAGCATAATGGTTAAAATGCATAATTAAAAAACATAAATGGATTCATATAATACATAGTAGTATGTCAGTTGTTTTTTAATTTAACAATGCATATGTCTTGGACACCTTTTTTCATTAACATGAGATATATTCTTCATAAGGGCTGCAGCGTGTTTTATTGTAGGATATATCATAATCTATTTACTTAAAACCCAATTGGTGGACATTTAAGATGATTCTAGTTTTAATCCTACAAGTGGTACTGTAGTTCTGATTACCACATTTTGAAGACTTTTAAAATTTGATATGTGCTGTCAAATTGTTTTCAAAAAGACTGTTTGAAATTGCTCATTTTCCCATCCTTCACCAGTGCCAAACTTCTACTTAATTTTAGCCAATATGATTGTTTAAAAATGTATCTAATTATATTACTTTTGGTGAAGTTGAGTGTTTCATATGTTAATTGGTATATTTTCTTATTCTATGACTTGCCTAATCTTTTGTTCACTTTTCTATGGGATTGCTCTTCTATTTCTTATTGATTTTTATCTGGTCTTTGTAGATCATGGGCACAAACATTTTATTATTTTGTTGCATTTTTTTTTCAATCTGTCTCAGCCTG